GGGGGGGGGGGGGGGAGAACGGCAGGTGAAGACGGCGGAAAAAGAGAGGCGCGATCGTGTGCCGCGCGCGCTATATGGGCGTGGAACGACCGGGCTTTCCTGCTCGCTCCTGCAGGAAACGGCAACCTCCCGATGTCAGCTCCTCGCGACGAGGAGGACGGGCCTTGCGACCGTGAAAATGTACCGTCAGCGAGCGATAGGAGTCGCGCGGGATCGTCCAAATCGCCGCGGAAATATGATCGACGATGACCGTTGGCCGTTAGCCCGCTCGCGTCACGGCGTCCGGCCGTCTCCTGCTCGCCCTTTGTTTTTGTTTCGCGTCACGCTCGCGACAAGTGCGGCTCCACGGGAAGACGCGTAAAAGCGCCGGGGATCGTTTCGTCGCAGGAACGACGACGACGCGGTGCACGCGGGTGTAGCACGCGCGTACGTCGTGCGTAACGCGCCGTTGCTGTCTCCTCGAAGCGAACGGTCGAGCCTCGCGACGGCGAGTGTGATCCCGTTGGCGAGGAGAACTGCACTCCGGCGGCCACACGTGTGTCCCGAGGACGTCGCGGCTCGTATCTAACGTTAAATCTCTCAGGGGCTCGGGAACCGGTTTGGCGCGGTGAGGTCGATCCGTGATGCCACGGGCGCGCGAAAATGACCTCTGCGCCCGACCGTTGCGTTTCCGTCGTCGCGAGCGACCGCGGAGATGCTCGCTGGTGATTCGTATTCAGCTGCACTCGCTGCACTCGGCGGGGCAGTGCGCAGTAGATAATACCGTAATGTCGAAATTTCCAAATTTGCTCGATTTGCGACAAGTTCGAGGAAGAGAGAGACGGAAGAATGACTATAAGATGGACGTGAGCCGAGCTAAATGACGTCTTTGTGCGGTATCGCGACGAGAAGACAGAAGTTCAACCTCGATGTATACCATAAACAGAGGAGCACATAAGCGTCTCTCTCTCTCTCTCCCTTTCTCCTCCTTCCTCTCCCTCTCTCTCCATATCTCGCGCGTTATACGCTACACATTTCTTTACGCATGGAGTCATCGAGGGCGCCGAGCCATTTGCGCCGCGTGTTACTGCTGCTTCTTTTCCGTAGTCTGTTGACCGTTTGTGTACTCAGCGGGCTTTACATACGCACAAGGCGCGGCGGGACATGACGAAAAGGCGACGCCCCCGATGTCCGTACGCGGGTTGACCCTCACTCCCCAGACGGGAAAAGCGAGCGCACGGGGACAAAAAGTTGTCCCACGCGTTCACGACGGAGTAAGAGCGAGCGAGCGAGCGAGCGAGCGAGAGAAAGAGAGAGAGAGAGAGAGAGACCGTTTTCGATCGCAACGCGGAAAGCGGTCGCGGCGGGAAAACGAAAGGGGCCGGCGGCTAACGACCGGCGCGAATGACCTGGCATTTCGCGAAACTCGCCCCCGCGGGTTTTCGGCCACGTACGAACGGCGAGAACGTATCGGATCGCTCGGGCGATACGCCGATATCCCGGTGCAAACTCCGGCCATCGTGCGGCGGCACTTTCGCCGTATCTTATCGAGCTGCTCGAGCTCGGAGAGTCAAGAGTCCGATCGCGGCCGCGCCGCTTATCGCGCGTATCAGAGGCATTGTCGTCGGAGAAATGTGGAAAAGTTTCATCACGAGGGATCCGCCACGCCTTGCAGTCAAGTGGCGTCGAGTCGCGGGCGCACTCCGAATTCTTATCGTTCCGTGTCCCCCTCGCGCTGCGTCGAACAATCAAGATCTCGGATGGTCCAACGAGAGAACTTAACACTTCTGGGAATCAATCAGGCGTTCTCTCATTGGATCATCGCTACATTCCGAAATGTATCGAGGAGAGTGTTGACTGAAACGAATTGAATACAGTCGAGGCTAAAGCCTGATCCACAATATGCTTTTTGCTTCCTGCTTCTTTCTCTTTATCTCTTTCTGACTCAAGCATGAAGCTTTAAACCAGAAAAAGATAGAAGACAAGAAACAGAACGCAAAGAGCATATTGTAGGTCAGGCTTTAAAGCCTAATTTACAATGTACTCTTTGCATTTTATTTCTTGTTCTCTGTCTTTTTTTAGTTTAAGGCTTAAGCTTGATTTATAATGTGTTATTTGCTTTCTGTTACTTTTTCTTTATCTCTTTCTAACTTAAACCTTAAATCTTAAGCTTGATCTATAATGTGTTATTTGCTTCCTGCTACTTTTTCTTTATCTCTTTCTAACTTAAACCTTAAATCTTAAGCTTGATCTATAATGTGTTATTTGCTTCCTGTTACTTTTTCTTTATCTCTTTCTGACTCTTAAACCTTAAACTAAAAAAAGACAGAAAACAAGAAACAGGAAGCAAAGAACACATTGTAGATCAGGCTTTAATGTGTAAGTCAGAAAGAGATAAAGAAAAAAAAAATGAAGCAAATAACACATTGTAGATCAAGCTTAAAGCCTGATCTACAATATGCTTTTTGCTTCCTGCAAAAAGCATATCTTTCTCTTTATCTTTCTCTTTATCTTTTTCTGACTCAAACCTTAAGCTTTAAAGCTTGATCTACAGTGGGTTCTTTGCTTCTTGTTTCTTTTTCTTTATCTCTTTCTGACTCAAACCTTAAGCTTTAAATCTTGATCTACAATGTGTTCTTTGCTTCCTGTTTCTTTTTCTCTATCTCTTTCTGACTTAAACTTTAAGCCATAAAAAGACAGAAGACAAGAAACAGAACAAATGCAAAGAGCATATTGTAGATCAGATTTTAGCCAGAAAAAGATAGAAGAATAAGAAACAGAACGCAAAGAACATATGAGTGAGAAAGAGATAAAAAGAAAGAAGCAGGAAGCAAAGAGTATATTGTAGATCAGGCTTTAAAGTGGATGTCTTCAATCTTAAGGGTCAGTTTATGAACTCCCCATTTTACTCAATGGGAGAGCACTCTCTCGTTGGACAAGGAAGATGAGTTCACAAACTCATTCCAAAAATTACGGACAATCTTTTAATCCTCAACTGTATACAAACTTTCAAAACGGTTTGAACACTTTCTTTTTCGATGCAGTTTGGAAAGCAATTCAGAGGACATGTTTCTTGATTAAATTCCCAAAAATTAATTTCTCTCGGACCACAGATTGCGTTCCAAACTGCATCGGGAAAAAGTATTGGAACCGACTTGAAGATACATCGGAATCGCGCGATGCTTTGCTTTCGCTTTTAGTTTCAGTTGAAAAAAATGCGGCTCGAGTCAAGGGCAAAGCATTTGCGTAACAGACCTTTTCTTTTTTGAGCAGGAAGAATGCGATGTCGTAATCATCGGTCGTCACATGTCCATCATCATTTCGCGATATATCCATATCGTGGCGTTACGTTGCGATCGCGATTAGATAGCCGGTGCTCGCGATCGCTGTTTGCTCGCAATTTCAGTCGACTTTGTCGTACGATCGATTCGATCGAAGGGCGAGCACACACTCGCGCTTTCTCGGAACTTTCTTTTCACGGAATTTCCCGGGGAGCGATTCCTTAAGTGGAAACAGGCTACCTTCGCGTGGCCATTAAAGAGCTTGCGATTGAACTTTCGCCGGGACGATCGATTGTATTCTTTTCGTGGAGGACGCACTCGAGTATGCTTTTGCATATAAAGAACAACGGGCAGCGCGATTGCGTCGCGGCGACGATGCGATTCGTTCGTTCTTCTCGTCAGGAACGTTATCTGGGCCCGCGTTATGATCTTCTATTGTAAAGACGGGCCACGGGCCGATCGCCATATAGGTGCGACCTGTCCCTAAGTGTGTCAATGAGAACTCTACGCGAACGCCTCTCAGATAACCGGCTTATCACTCGACTGAGACGTTAGATAAATATTTAGGTAGCTCGATATAATCATTAACCGACTGAGAATACATTTGTATTCTTGTCAAATAGTCGCGGCTAAACGTCTCCGAATCGACGAATCACGATCGTTGATCTCATCCCGCGCGATATAAAATACATTAACAGTAAGTTAATGTATTTTATATCCTCCATAAGTTGAAGACAATTATTACGTAGAAAGACAATTTCAAGATAACAGCAGATAAAGATAAGGATATTAAAATGGATATTTTATGATAATTTTGTTTCGCATTTACATTCATAAGATCGGCATTTTATGTCATTTGACAGAGCGAAGTTTCAAGTTTAAGAATTCATTTTCTGAATTAAGCTGTGTTAAGCCTTAATTATATGTATACAGTTTTTGTTTTCTACTAGTGTGTTGAAATAAAGAAATATGTTAAAATAGAAATATATATCCTTAACTTGTAATCAAGTAAACAAATTTTTAAGATATTTCGTGCACTCCGCTTTTGGTCTATCAATAATTTGTTGTAAATTAACGTGACATACAATTCATCTTAGCCTATTTCTATTCAGCCTATTAATTTACAATAAATTATTGATTGTTAAAGCAAAAGGGGAGTGCACGGAATACCTTAAATTTGTTAAATGATTGAAGTGTTACTTTATGGATATATATTTTTATTCCAACGTATTTCCCAAGAAATTTTAGCATGCATTTTTCTTGCTTCTGACGTCATTAGAAAGAGATAGACAACGCGAGGGGCCTTAAGGAAACCTTAATTTTTCACGAGAAAAGACAATTACTTGTTTTGTTGAAACAAAAGAATTAAATAAATATGCTGTTAATCAAGCTAATATCCGACGTATGAATTCGAATTGTGGAATGTGGTCGACGTAACCGATACGCGTGCACAGTACAGATGTTCCTGCAATTAAAACATCGCCGCGATTTTCCCGCGGGTTCAACGCGCCGCCGGCGACATTCCGCCGAGTCATGGAATCACGCCTCTTTTTTTTTTTTCGGATGCGCGCACGCCGATACGCAGACAAATCCGGACGAAATCTCGCGCCGTCGTTGTGTATTCGATTATAACGGCATAC